TATCTATCTATCTATCTATCTATCTATCTATCTATCTATCTATCTATCTATCTACCCACGTGTTCCAGTTTCTAGATTTGAGAGGTAAAAAAAGAACGTACCTTAAGAACTTGCCCCCAACTCTGATTGGACGGAACGCGGCGACGCCTTCTGACGAGCAGCCAATCAGAGGGCGAGCAGGGGCCGACTCCAGCGCTTGCTCCTCCCGCAGGATCCAGAGGGTCCCGGTGGTTCGACCCCCTGACGAAGGACGTGGCAGGTATTTAAAAACCAAAACAAAACAAGCAGCAGCTGTTTGTGTGAAACGTGGCGTCGACGGGAACACAAAGAGGGAACGAGCATGGATCCACTGGTGGCTGCGATCGACCAGGGCACGAGCTCCACGAGGTTTCTGGTGAGTGGAGTGGAATAGTCGGCTCGTGCACGTGCATTTCACACACGACGGGGGGGGGGTCTTCATTCAAGTAGCGTGCGCGCTCTCGTCACCACATGGCTGATATCAAGGGACGACCCTTCGAATTAAAACAAGAACACTTTTTTTAAGATAAGATGATCTTATATGTGTCCCTATAATTGGGAAATATGCCATGTTTCAGCAGTAAGGGGGGTAGTCAATATAAGAAGCAATTGTACAAGAAGAAAAACATGCAAAGTCAATATAAATACAAAAATAGGAGCAATAGCAGTGGGAGCAGAACCCAACATGAACATTTTGCTTGTCGGTGTGGTGTTTACACACAATGAAATGGTTAAATGACTGTCAACTCTATTTGGCTACACACAGAGAAATATTGTACAATAGTCAGTCTGATATGTGTTGAAAATGCAAAAGGTCGTTACTTACTGTAAAGCAAATGAACTTCATTAAAATTGTGTGAATGTATCCATTGCTCAGGTTAGGTTTTGAATTATGAGGGTATTTATTGTGCAGAGCTCCACATTGTATTTATGTGTTATATTGTGTTTGTAAGACACCAAGTCCAAGTGAAAGTCTTCGAATTTCTCAAGGCTTCGCCCGGCCCCCAAATAAAATAATTGGATAATGTCTGAATAAGCCAATGTGAGAACACGTCAGGAGATCCTCTGTAGGATTCACTGCAAATGGGGGTGTTGACGATGAAGTTTCTAAAACATGACTGACGCAAAAATGAAAACATCTGAACTAATACAAATATCTTGGGTCCATGTAGAAGACATCAGCGAAGATGTCAAGAGAGCTGTCGATGATCGATGTGTTATTGTGTTATTGCCTGCCTCTGCCTGCTGCACCACCCCTCACCTGAGGACAAACCTCTGGAGAAGGTCCAGAACCAATTGTGCGGACATTCTCTGGAGTTCAAGCTTATGAAAAGTGTGACACAGCTAAACTCAATAAGTTACCTATCCATAATTCCATCTCTGCTCCTGTGTGGGTCCTGTATACACTTCTTTAAAACTTATCCTTCTGTTGTGAGGAGACCCATCAGATTGTTGTGCTTGATCTTTGTGTTCCGCTGCTGAGCAAAATGAATACTGTACAGTGATCCAAAGTGAATCCAGTTGGGCTTCCTCAAGTAGGTCAGCTGGAAGATTCTTGGCACAGAGGGGACAGCATGGTGGAGCTCTGTAGAGACTCAAGTTCAGCTTGCTGTTTCAGTTTCCAAAGAATCTAGACGAATGTGAATGATTGATTTGTGAATGAGGATCAAGAAGGATTTTTTTAACAGACCTGGTATTAGCATATGTCTTGACTAATCCCAGCACAAGGTGACAGGTAAAAGTGTGAACACGCCCAGGAAGCACTGAGGACCTGTTTGAGATCAAATCATTCAGACCACTTTGCAAGATGGTCTGGGAAGCATGTGGCTACATTCTTTTAGGCAGGAGATAAACTTGCTGTGTAGCCACCTGCTTGCAAAGAAAACAAGATACGTTGTGAGCATTGTTCACATACTTGCTGTGCAGTACTTGTGTACTACACGTGTTACCAGAGTATTCATCTCTAGGCAATGAAAAGCACAGTGAGTATTTCCGAATGTGCACTGAGCCATTGCTGTGAGCTACAAACTCAGATCTGCAATAGTTGGACTTCTAGTACAAAGTAACCAGAGCTGCGCTATTGTGAATGATGTGTTTGTGGCTGAAGATAAGTGGAAGCAGATCCAGAGAAATTCTGTTGTTTGTGGCAATTTCCCAACTGTGCAAACACGTCAGAGTTAATGCCCCAACCAATGTTGGAAATCCTTTTGGGTTATCTGACAGGCACAGATTTTTAACAGGCTGGTTTACAAATAGAACCTGACTTTGGACGGGCAAAATAATAGATTCAATAGTTCAAAAAGCAAATAATAGTTCAAGAACAATAGTGATCGGAGCTGCTTCCTCCATATTTGGACTGTGATGATGAGGAGGTGTGGATGAGGTGAAGCGTGATGCTCTCGGCGAAGACGGTGTATTGACTCAGGACTGCCGATGACCTCATCATCTAGCATCTAGAACCAAGGTGTCATGTCCTGGCACTCAGTGTGAATGTTAGTGTCCAAAGGTCAGATGAGAAACAAAAACACTACGTGCAAACTATGATTTCTCTCTGATTCATAATCCATTACCACATTTTTGAGAAATGTGTGCAGTTTTTAACATTTTGCAATCTGCGTGTCATGTGTCCGTCGAGGTTAATGCCTCTCAGTTTTTCCTAGTGCAGTGTTTGCCGCGTTGACCTGATGTAACCCAGCAGTTTGAGCACTTTCCGTACTGTATGAGCAGAATTGTGTGCAGAGAGGTTAAGCCTTCCTGCTATGGCATGCCATGGTATATTAGTGCTGTCATTGGCAGCACCCCGGGTGACATTCATGTGACCCCCATTCATGTGACATTCATGTCAGGTGCAGGATGAAATCCATCCAGCTAGTGATGATCGTCATCTTTCCACTGACTTGACTCTCCTGTGTCACGGGATACTGCGTGTCGTTCCACTCACTATTCCTCTCCAGCATTGTGCCATCTTCTTGTGAATCTTCTGCCACCTTTCTTTCCGGTCACCTTCTTACAAACCTTTTTGTCTCCATAGGTGTTCAATGCAAAATCAGCCAAACTGATCAGTCACCATCAAGTAGAAATTAAGCAGAGTTTCCCCAAGGAGGGGTGAGTCCTTTGACCTTCATTATTGCATATTTTTACATGTTAGTAACTAATCTCTCTAGATAATGTAGAGAGATTCAGTATTACAGTCCATGCCTGCAAAATATCTTGTATATAGAAATGGCATAAAATAAAGTTTGTATGAAAACAAATATGAACAAAATAAATGTTCAAATCCATTCAATATACATAGTGGCAGTTTCTCCCTTGTGTTTACTGCGTCACTTAAGTTATACTTTAACTTAATTGCAGATGAATGTCTGACTTTATTTAACAACATGACTGTGTCCAAGGTCCAGCTTGGTGTTTTATCATTCATTGATTGGTACATATTCATTTTGCTGTGTATACAAATCTGGTTGAAAAACCCCAGAGATATTAGAGCGTATATATTTGATGCAACATTTTTGTACAGGCCAGTGTAAATGGCAGATGTGTTCTTGTAGAATAATGCATCAGATGAAGGGAATTGTCTTCATCATCACGCTAAAGATGAAATAAAGCCTGAGTTCAAAAAATACAAGAAGATAATTAATTACAAAAGCATTGACTCTGTTAAATAGTAAAAGTATATTACACGCAAACAAATACCTATCTTTTCTTGTTCATAAACAAAAAGCTGAGAAGTGAGAAGCTGCAGTTATCTGAGGTTGTCATTGATCTGTGTGTCAGCATATCCAGACCCAGGGTGTGTGTACATGTGTAAAAAAAAAATAACTGGAAACACACTCATGCTGTGGTAATTTATCTCAAGACAATTCAGGAGCGGCCCTTCACTGAAATATAATTACTTAACAACTTTGAACTATCATGACCTCTATCTGGTAAATGCGAAACACATAAAGTTCAATTCTATTTTATTTGCATAGAGCCACGTCACAACATACATTATTTTGAGGCACTTTACATTCTGAAGTCGAGACCTTACAGATCAAAGCAGGGGAGAAACTCCAATGTGGGCAAAAAAACATTGTTAAAAAAACTAAAATCTGTCTCTCATATACACACACACACACACACACACACACACACACACATACACACACACTGTGTTTACATGCCTGTATGTGTGTTTCAATCAGCTGGGTGGAGGAAGACCCCAAGGAGATAATACAGTCTGTCTATGAGTGCTTGGAGAGGACTTGTGAGAAACTCAGCCAGCTCAACATTGACGTCTCCAACATAAAAGGTGGGACACTGCTCGTCCACAACATCCACTCCTGTAAATGCATGACAGAAACAAAACAAGCTGTTACCCCTCACCTAACAGAGAGGACTCTGTGGGAGGGTTTTGTTTTTTTTACGTGTATGTTGTGGTTTGTTTTTTTTCTCAGCGGTGGGAGTGACCAATCAGAGAGAGACAACCGTGGTATGGGACAAAGAGACGGGAGAGCCACTCTACAATGCCATCGGTGTGTGCATCATACTTCCCTTCACTGCCAAATATTTTATTTAGATTTATATGTACCTGTAAGGTTACTAGCTGAACATGTCTTCTTTTACTGGGATAGATAAACTACGGCAGTTGTCTGCAACTGGGTCAAATCACAGGTCAAACTCTCAAAAAGAACCAGTGTAAAGTAATAACCAGTGTAAAGTATCCCAACAAACTTGGTGTAATAACTTGTCTGACACAACTCTCCATACTTCCTTTTAAAGTCTTCTACTGAGGAATCAGGATTATGTCATCCAGGAAACAGCTCAGCACATGAATGAGTTGCATCAGAGTGTAGTGTCCTGTGTCATGACCGCCCCTTCCCCACCACCCACCAACACGTGGTGTAGGAGCTGAGCACACACAGTGAGCGCCCACTCAAACCCTCAGTGCCAGTTAAACACAGGCTTTTATTCAGACCCCCAGGCCTCTAGTCTCAGCTTGATAGGCTGGTTAGTCTGCTGCTGTTAAGACTGCAGTTCAGTCGCTGTTAAGATGGATTGTGCTTAAATGTGTTGTGGAGCTGCTTCAGAATTATTCCTTGTCATTAGTGAGTTGTCCTCAAACAGTTCTATATATATTATAGCTTTTTATATAACAGTCCTTGGTGCAGAGTGAAGTTAGAAAACGTGTTCATCCTACCTAGTTTATTTGGGTGGTTTATTATACAAGGAAAGAAATCTGAAATATAAAGACTCATATTTTTCTGACACTTTTTGAAATAAAAGATTCATTAATAGATGAATGAAGAAAATAATATTTACAGCCCTAATTTCAAGGCAGCCCATTCAAGACTATGAACTGCATATGTCAGAGCTACTATGGTGGTGTTGGTGGAGCAGTCATGACATCACCACAGTCAGTCCATGCAGCAGTTGTTGGGTTTTTTCAGTCTGAACTAGAGTGGTGGACTGATCACCTGACCAATATTCCAACAAGTGTGACTGATATGAATAGAACAGAATGACGTGCAGCTAACAGGCATGTTGACTAGGTTTAGTTTCAGCTTTATCACTCCTCCTGTGGGTGGCTCTCTGTAGAACCAGTGCTGCTGGTTCTCTGTAGCTTTTTACCTGAAGGCTGTAGTTTCTGTACGATTGCTTTTCTTTACGTTCTCACCAGGTCTCAAACAATGGATGAAAAAAAATCGATTTTATGAATCTATTTGAAGTTAATTTTTAATTCGGTCCCATTATTAATTTTAAAGTCTGCTTAAATGTTTTAGGGTGTCATGCAACATTTCATATATCAAAGTTAAATGCTTTACGTTCCTACTGTAAGTGTAAGTCTTCGTTCTCTGCTATGTGTGTAGTTTGGTTGGACCTGCGCACACAGTCCACAGTGGAGAGGCTCATCAACAAAGCTCCGGGCAAAAACAAGAACCACCTGAAGGTGAGAGATGATTCTCCAGAGATGACACCATCTGTTTTGATTCAGACTGCAACGTTTACAAAGCCGATACAAACGAAACAGGCAGTTAGAGATAATGTACATGCATAGACTGTGTATAAAGATGGACGACACGTCTCCTCTCCCTACCACTGTGCAAGACCTCTTAGGAGCACTATCTATAATGACATCTAAGGGAAAATTTAATGTGACATGTACTTTGATTTTATGATTGGTCCATTTTCCATCCACTAACATGGAGGAGGCAGGGTTTATTACAACCTTCAGTTATTGGTAAAGACCTTGGAAATACTGAGGCAACTTTAAAGTAGAGATCTGAGAGAGGTAAAAAAATTTTAAATCATTTTAGTGGGTAGCCTTCTCAAGACAGTGTGGGTCATCTTTTCATTTTTCTGATATTTGTGGATCTTCTGTTTGAGTCTTTGCAAAGTTCTGTAAGGACAACGCTTCTTTATACCTAACTAACCCACCAATCTTTTGTTACTGCTGTCCTCATCTCTCCAGCACAAGACAGGCCTTCCTATCAGCACCTACTTCAGTGCAGTCAAGCTGCGTTGGCTTCTCGACAATGTGGAGGAAGTCCAACAGGCAGTAGCGAGTGGGCGGGCCATGTTTGGCACGGTGGACTCCTGGATCATCTGGGTATGATCCGTTTTAAAAACTGTGCACTCCTTTCATTTACAATGTGTGAAGCACACTTAGTCCATTGTTATTTTTCCTCAGTGCCTGACGGGGGGCAGGAACGGGGGCGTCCACTGTACAGATGTGTCTAATGCCAGTCGCACCATGCTCTTCAACATCAACAGTCTGGACTGGGATCCTGAACTGTGCAGGTAAGCAGACACATTTAAAGACTAGAGTGGCACTCATGAGAGCACATACCTTCACCAAGACCTAACAGACCTAACACAAGATCTAAAAATAAAAAACTCCACCCTATCTCACAATGAAAAGAAAGTGATACAAAAATTGCCTTTTGTCCAGATCCACATCAAAAGTGAATGGATTCTTTCCTGGCGTATCCTTCCAAAAATGTTTTGCTGAAATCCATTTCTGTGTATTCTTGCACAAACCAAAATGGAAGGGGATGAAAATATAACCTCCTTGGCAGAAGTAATTGTATCTGTTAGGCCCTGACTGTACAACCAGTGAGTTTCAGTGAGAACGACCGAATGTACACATAACTCAATACTCAAACCCTAAAAGCACTTTTTAACTAAAACACTCACTTTTCCACTCTGTCACGTTTGTAGCTGCATGTCACAGTAGAATCATTTGTGTTATGTGCATTGTGTAATCTGCATCATCGTGACTGTTTGCTCTGCTGCTTTCAGGTACTTTGATGTCCCCATGCAAATCCTCCCCAAAGTCCGAAGCTCCTCTGAAATCTACGGCTGGATGGTAAATCTCCGATAACCAGAGGTCGCTCTTCGTGTGTGTGCACGCTCGCCTCCATATGCGCTGCACCTGTCTTATTCAGCTCATTCAAAAGTTGTTAATCTAAATATGATCTCATAATGGTCTAATAAAATATTTAAATCACTGCGGTAAACATATAACTTGATAAAATGCAGTGTGTAATAATCCGAACAGCTGATAATGCACTGATAAGAGATGAAAGGAAAAGTAGAGAAGAAATTCCAGTTAAAATTATTGACGTAACCTTTGATGCACATTGTAACGTGACCTCATTAAGAAGGTTTTATTTTTCACGTTTGAACTTAATGAGAATACTGGGCCTTGGTGGAGGTATGAGATTTACCGAGAGCCATTCTAATTATAGATGAATAAGATACTAATATTGCATACTACCTGCTGCATGAATTAGATGTTACGATGGCAGTTTTACCAGTTAGGATTATGTAAAGCTCTTTACCGTGGTCTCTCCCTGATACTTGGTCTGATAAGTTTCTCTGGTGCTTTATCGCAGCAGCAGATGATACGATAAGAGAGACGATACAGAGGCTGTAGCAGTGCATCGGCCCATATTCCAGCTCGCTGAAATATCAAATAAGTGCTTGTGTTATCATGTGTCTCTGTGTGTCTTTGCCCATTTATTATCTCCTGACCACAACCTGGTATCTGTCTGGTGCTCAAGCTTTTTTTATGCAACATGCACCTTGTCCTGCAGTGCAGAGGTCAGCACCATGCTTTGTTTATTTGCCTCATTTAACGGGTCTGATTTCTGTTTTGCTGCAGAATTGATTAGTTGTTTTTTTTTTTCCAATGCGTACTACATCTTACTGGCTGATTTATCAAACTATAGCAGCCTCTCTGGCAATTATGAGAAATGAATTAATATTAGACACAGTGTCTTTGATTGTTACGACTCATGTTTTGAGTTATCAGAACGTTTGTCTACATGGAAATCATAAAATTCAGTCAAATAGAGACACCTGAAAATGATCCTTCCACATCAACACCACGTGTGTGCATCTAATAGTACACAAACACAAACACCTCCCTGTTGGATAATAAAAAGCCCTGCACAGACTTTGATAACTCTTGATAATCCTGATCATCTGTATGATGTGGATTTATCACATTAGGTTGGACATTTGTACAGATAATAGATTAATCATCATCATCAATCATTAATCATCAGTTGCTTGCTCCATTTTTTAGCTGTGGCCATTTTTATCACATTATTATTACCGACCACTGTGACATAACAAGGCAATGCTGTTATTGCAGAATATTGTAATACATTAATTTAAACTGCTGTTATATTGGATTACTGAATACTTGGCTACAGATAGTTGTTTGCCTGTGATGCAACAGTCACATGTTTGATTACCTGCAACAGCACTATGTCCCGATGGGGCCTGCCTTCACCCAGCCGTGACAGTGAACACCATCTCGCTCTAGTTTGTGTTTGGCAAGAAAGAACTGAACAGAACGAGTCATTGTTGTTGTGCCATCATCTATCCAAACTCTAATTACGTCCGTTTCTGTCTCCCCACCAGAAATCCAGCTCTCTAGCAGGAGTTCCAGTCTCTGGGGTGAGTTATGTAACTTTGTTGGAATGGGGACATCATACACGTGACACATTTTCCACTTGAGCCCCACCAACACTTATCCCTTATGTCTATGACAGATGTTTAGTGTCAGTGCATCTTTAAGTATGACAACACACCCTGTTTCGATCAAATTTTCAAACTGCAAAGGTGAAATTAATGTGATTGTCACCACGCACTACTTTATTTGATATTTAGTATAGTTGATAGTATTATTGGCTGTATTTCTATATTTGTGACTTGTTTTCTAAAAGAGCTGTGTTGTATTTGCTTTTTTATTGTTGCTAATATGTATATGTATACATTATGTAATGTCCTGCTCAGTACATATCTCAAGTTTTAAGTGATATTTAACTTGTGTCTTTCAGTGTCTTGGTGACCAATCAGCTGCTCTTGTTGGTCAGATGTGTTTCAAGGAAGGCCAGGCAAAAAACACGTAAGACATTTCTTCCCTCCACTTCAGCAGTTGTGGGGTTTGTGCTGTTTAATTAGCGGAATGGTTACAAGTGTGTCTAGGGTGTCAGCATTACAGAACATGAGACAATTTGATCAATGTTAAACACAAGTGTTGCCACAATGTTCGTTGCATTGTTCAAACAGTTGATTGTAATTTATTCAGTTACAAAATAAAGTAATAATTTACAGCTCAGTCTTCAAAACAAAATCTTCTGCCATTTTCCCAAACTTAGAAAATAAAATAAACTTTCCTGAAGAACAACGCAAGATTTCATCATCAAGCCCAAAGAAATAACAGTAGCCAAACCTGCTCGAAGAGCAGCCAGGTTAACATAGCATTTACATGAATCATCTGTCTGACTCTAACTAGCTTCATTAGCTGTTACGCTTTTTCAAGCTGATCTCATTTCTTCAATGTGCATTTAAACAGACAACTTTCCATTCAACTAGTCCGGATCAAAGCCACTCGTGTAAACTCTGTGTATCTATAGAAAAATAAAACCTTTATTGTCACGTTAAATGATTTTGAACTGGAGGGTCACTTAGGAAAGTGCACAACTTATTAAAACATTTCAATTCAACAGCTCAGGATTTTTATTTTAACAAAGATCTTTGGTAAAAAAAGATCTGGGAAGTCAACGTAAAATGTTGAAGAAAAAAAAAAAAAAAAAGTTATGGATCTTCTACTTGATCCAGATCCACACCAAAATAAAAAAGGTTCTTATCTAATGTGACTAATACTTTTGCGTAATCCTACAAACTAGCAAACAGGCAGACGAAAACATAACATGAGCGTTGATTGTTGACCTGATCGTGCTTCTGCTCTCAGTGTCACTCGCTCAGTCCAGAGTCACAGCCTCATCAGAGCACATTTACTGAGGAATAGTTATTGTTTCATTGAAAACAATTAACAGGGTTAGAAACCATTTTGATCAACTTCAAAAGCATTTTAAACTTACACTGTGTGGAGAAATGTGATTGTTGCCATATGTCAGACACACAGTAACAGACTAGTCTCTAATGTGTCTTTCTCTCTTGTTGTGGAAAGGTATGGGACTGGTTGTTTTCTGCTCAGAAATACAGGGACCGAGGTAAAATATTTCATTGGACTAATATTTAAAAATACATTCATGGCCTCTGTTCTGTTGTTACTTCACATCATGTTCTTTCCTCTGACTGGTTCAGCCTGTGATGTCCGAGCACGGCCTGCTGACCACAGTGGCGTACAAACTGGGAAAGGACGTGCCCGCCTGCTACGCACTGGAGGTGTGTGAGATCTTCCATCAGTTCTTATTTTGGACTGGATTTCGTTCCTACACGTGCCTCTACGTAGTCGGGCATGGTGTGCCCTGCATTGCAATTTCTGTCTCCCTGGTTCTCTGGATCCAATGTTTTGCTTTCATCCTCCCAGGGCTCAGTGGCCATTGCAGGGGCGGTGGTGCGGTGGCTGAAGGACAACATGGGCATTGTGCAATCCTCCTCGGAGATTGGTACTTGCATGACTCATTGATTCGCTAAATAATATAATGTGTGATTCTTTCAATTCTCACTGTAGAAACTTAATGACTGTGTGTTGTATATAATGTGGAGAAACAATGTACTCGGATAACAAGGCTTCCCTCTGTCCTTCTGTCATTTAGAGAAACTAGCAGCTGCAGTGGGGACGTCATATGGCTGTTACTTTGTACCGGCTTTCTCTGGGCTCTACGCCCCCTACTGGGAACCCAGTGCGAGAGGGTGAGATTGTCAGCTGTTCAAACACATCTGAACAGTCAACTTCTATTTGACCCTGAAATCTATTATCTTATGATAGAAATGAGTAACTCTGGAGCTACTTCAGAATTATTCCTTGGTATTAATGAGACGTCCTCAAAGAGTTCTACAGTAGACTGTCACTTTTTATTTTGTGTGCTGGATGTCGTGTGCAGAGTGAAGTTCATCCTACCTGGTTTATTTGTAATGAAGATTTTATAGTCAGTGTTTTTCGTAGAATGAAACTGCTCACGTGTGGTTTATATATATATAAGTTTGAATGATTTACATAACTACTGTAATTTTTAAACACTTCAGTCATTTCTGTGATTTGTCTTGATATAAGACATTGCAGCAACAAAACTAACATTTTGCTTCACTTTGAAAACAACTTGCTAAAGTGGACAGTTCCACAGACAGACAGACATTTTTGGAGTAAGTACGTAGATATGGCAGATTAGAAGATGTTCGATTTTTAGTCTCCTGCTCCAAGAAATGTTAGTGAAGTGAAAGCATGAAAATACTTATTCGCTGACCTAATTGTTATGTAGAAAAGATCATTCAGACTGCAGCTTGTATAATGAATTTGCTTTACTTTCTCTCTGTGTTTCCAGCATCATCTGTGGTCTGACTCAGTTCACTAACAGAAGCCACTTGGCGTTTGCTGCTCTGGAAGCCGTCTGTTTTCAGACCAGAGAGGTGAGCAGCCTCTTTTCACTCGGTTGAATATATGACATATATGATCTCTCCCTTTGTTGAATTGAGGCTGACGTAAATAACTATTGCAACTAGAATATCATCATCAGAACTCTTATGAAACCACATTTAAATTCACTATATCTCAATGTTAAAGAACATGGGGGGAAAAAATCCCTGATCCATATCTGCATGATTGAACAGGTTCTTCCCGGACCCATTCCACATCATTCCACCAAGTTTTGTGTTAATCTGTTTTGCTTTTTGAACCCTGCTAACTGACAAACAGACCAAAATACAAACAGAAGCAGATTGGGTCATGGGTCATACCCCGGCCCTCCATAAGATTTCATGGAAATCTGTTCAGCAGTTTTTGTCTAATCCTGGTTAGAAACCAACAAAAGCCCAAATGGAAACAATATCATTGGCAGAGGAAACAACAATAAGAGAACCTGTGAAAAAGAGCAGAACAGAGGCATATTGCATAAGAACACTGTGAGAGTCCAGATACATCACAGGTTTATTTTAACCATGTCGTTGTTATGCTTGTTTTACATGAAGTCCTGTATTTACATCCCACTGGGTGTAATATATCCTGGTTGGATTTTTTTGTGAATGTACTGGCTGGTAGAAGTTGGAGTTGAAGTGAATGGTGTTCTGTGTATCAGATCCTTGATGCGATGAACCAGGACAGTGGGGTCCCTCTGACGCAGCTGCAGGTGGATGGAGGCATGACATCCAATAGATTACTGATGCAGCTACAGGCCGACATCCTCTGCATGCCCGTATGTAAGTGGAGCCCATCACACAGGCACTCACACACTGAGGCATAGACATGTATTGGTTTATGGTTTTTATGTTTCACCATTTGTTTCAAGAGACAGATCTGCGAATACACGAAAAACACACGTGTGTATTCATGTATTATATCTCTGTGACAAATAATATAGAAAGTAAAGCTAAAGTGCAAAGAAATGCAAACGTATTAAAGCCAGAGCTGAGGAGCTTAATCACGTTTTTGAAAAGTGAAGCTAAATGACGACAATCATAAAATAATTGAAGAACGTTTTCTCTTGCAGCTAAAGCAACAACTGTGAAATTGTAAAACCTGTTCTTTAATCTGTGTAACCCCCTGAAATGAACATGGACTTCACAAGTCCTCCCTGACCTTTGTCCCATTTAAAACACAAACACAAGAATGAATGAACAAACTTGACTCTGAATTACAAGAGGAGGTAAAGAGCACATATTTACTTGTGTACTTTACTTGTTTACTCATTTTACTGTGAACATGGACTTTAAGTCAAAACTGAACTGACATGACAAAGTCCACATTTATCCATATGTTTGATGAGTTTTACCATTAGAGCAAGATTGTGCAAAGTCAAAATACACAAACTACAAATTGATCAGTTTCCTTCTCTGATTATTTGTTTCATACATTTTGAATAAAATAAAACTTTTATTTACCAGAATATAATGCAGGGGAGTATTATAATTATCTGTGCATTCATCATTTCATTTCTGAAGCAGAACTTGAAAACCATTTAAAACATTTTCATGAAACTACATAATGGTGTTATATATATAATTTCTGGGGAGTATGTCATCTACTGTTTGCTCTCTGGTAATTTTAAGAACAGGGACTTAGTTTTTTAAGTTGTATTGTCTCCACTAGAAAAATGTTTTTGATGTTCCTGCCTGTGTCGGTACAGTACGACCTGCCATGTCGGAGACCACAGCTCTGGGTGCAGCCATGGCAGCAGGGGCAGCTGAAGGGGTGGACGTGTGGAGCCTGAGCCCCGATCAGCTCCCAGATGTTACTTCTGAGAAATATGAACCTCAGATCAACTCTGACGGTAAGAAAACAAAATCAAGGATCTGTCGTAGATCCTGGAATCAGTAGTTGATCCTCAGCATGTGATTAGTGTGAAACTACACAAACAGAAAACACACAGTACCCATGTCAGGGCAGAGGGCAGTAGACAGTATAGTGTGATCTGCTGCCACCCAGTGGTGGGATTTAACAAAGTACATTTACTTAATTACTGGATTCAAGTACTTTTTGTATGTGTCTGTACCTAACTTAGTTAAAGTAGATTTATTTTCAGGTACTTTTCCCTTTCACTACATATATCAGTAATATTTTACAATGCACTACCTTATATGTTCACATTCACAATCTTTTAATAATTAGAGTGGAATTGGTTGACGGATCCAATCAGAGCGGGTGGGTGACATTAGACCCCGCCTCCTGCAGCATCACAGGTGAAGAGGAACTGCTTAGACTCATACATTCATTAATATGACTGCAGAGTTTTATCTGCAGCATTCTGCATTAAAACAGAGTGTGTATTATTCTTGTATTTAGCAGAATATGCAGTGGGCTCAGTTTTACTGTTATGACTGTCTCATAAAAAATGCTCTGCTCCACTAACCTCTGTTTGTCTTCGTCACAAACAGAGAGCGAGTTCCGCTTCGCTCGTTGGAAGAAGGCTGTCCAGAAAGCCATGAACTGGGAGACCACAGAGCCATGCTGCAACTCTAATGGTATTCAACTGATTTAATAACCCCCCCACCCCCTCTATTTTCTCACTCCCCACACACAAACATACTAATATAAAATCAATAATCAAAGCCATCACTAAAAGTAAAATTCATAGCACCCACTGCATACGTAATAAATAAAGAGAAACAGGATCTCAATTGTACAACTACAAAGAAAAGCATCATGCAGACAGGATCCAGGAAAGATTCACACAAATCTTGCGTAAATCAAAATTTTGTTCTCACTCTTCCACAGATAAACATAAACCAAGTGTTCTATTTTCAATGATGGAATGATGGAAAATGTTAGAGTCAATGTACATTAAAGCTCCAGCGATTTATTTCACTTGTTGGCGCTCTGCACACGGAGTATTGTTAACAATGGAGTTGGCACGCACTCTGCTGGACAAACTATGATGATGCTATTTTAAAATTTCCCCAAGCATCTTTTTCTACATGTTCTTTTTAAAATATCATATTAAAGCACATTCAGTAAGATAAACACTGATTTGCACATATTTATCAAAGGCAAATTTCAGCTAAACCTAATCAGTGAGATGTCCATGAATTGTTTGTGACTGTTCCATCTTGGCTGCTCTCTCCTTCCTTCGATGACAGGTTTTGGAAAGAAGATTAACGGTGCCCCCTGGGGAGTTCCTCCCACTCCTCCCCCCACCAGAGTGGACCCCTAAGGTCCTACATTTGCTGTTGCATGCCATTTGTGACCTTTTTGAAGTGCTACAACACAGACCCCGTACACACCTGGTATTAACATGTGGCCCCTACATGTGTCTCGTGATCGAAACTCACCACCTTGGTTCTGGAAGTTTCCTGGCAGCTGGTGAAAAGAGAACTCAGGCAGCAGCAGAAGAGTTTAATTTAGACTTGATGCATCAAGGAGACCAGAAGGTGAAACAATATACAAACACTAACAAAGTAACATGAGCAACTGTCACCTCCAAGTCTGAAGATGTCTCACACAGCATCCCCAAATATCTTCCTCTACTTCCGTCACCCATTCTAACAGCACATCAATGAATGGCTAGAATTGATGTCACTCTCTATGTGACATGTAGGTGTTTGCATCCTATTGGATAGTTAAATCTAAATATGCATTCTTAAACCACATTGTGTTCTTACGTCTTGCCACTGGTGAAATACACAAAAGAGTTGAAGTTGGTGTCTCTGTGTCTGGGGCATCTGAGTTAGATATGAAAGTCCCTGTGTGTTGGTTGGGCCTTTATCTATAACCTGACCTTGTGTACTGCTTAGAGAGAGAAGTGTCTGCGGAATTAGCCATGCGTGTGCGTGTGGTAGAGCTAGAGGGCCGAGTCAGGAGAGTCTGAATGAAGCTGAAAAAATATTTTAACAATTTAAGGAAAGTATCGATCATAATGTCGTGATCAGTGTTTATTTTGTGTGGTCACAAATAAATCAATAGGACGTCAGCTGACTAGGAGGCCAAGGACAGATTTGCGTTCACACTGTTCAGAGAATGTGGACACATGTGACCCAGACCTCCTCTGAATGTTGTCTGTACTTAGAGCTGTCTGCTTATGAGCGGATCACAAAAACCACATGTTCATACCAGGTGAGTACAGGCCACTAACTGACTTGGGCATGGTCACATTTCAAAGCATCACTGACACAGTGTGTTGAAAGGGTTGGACTGATACAGCTTTCAAAAAGATATATTTGGAATATTAAACGGTGCACTCGAGCTCTGATTAATGATGATCTTTAAAGATCATCACAAATTAACCAGTTAGTTATGGTTTAAGAGGACGTCCACCACATCAGAGGCCTGTACCATGAAGCAACATACACAGGATATCTCTTCGTATCGCTAAGCCGCCACATGATGGTGGTTATCACCTCGATAAGTCGACCTCAGCATGTTCTCATAAAGCTGCAGCAGAGCTGGTTAGGCATGCAGCATGAGCTACCACGGTGATTTAACCCTGGTATGAAGTAAACCAGTGCTGTCACTAAACCTGAGGTCACCTTGATGAGTCCTGCTTCATTGTACAGGCCTCAGTTGTGGCCGGTGAAATAAATCAATTTGTATCAGTCCTGCCATAGTGTTTAAGTTGTGTGGGCGTGCATGTTACTGTATATATTGTGTTTTTCACTCTCTCTGCTCACAGAAAGGGACTGTTGCTCTGACACGAGCTGTTTACAAAGGGTTGAAACCTGAGCTGTCTGAATTTCACATCATTTAGTGTTTTGAACCAACGGTTATGTCTCAGAACCACGAGAGGTCTGAAGACAGAGAGGTGGTTTACAGGAAGCCCAATGTCACTCTGACACCATCACTCTTTACTTTGGCAGAAAATGGTGAGTCAAATAATAAACGCGCTCAAAACGCAGGTAACCAATTTGGACATTTTTTATATGTAGACATAAAACAATTGGAAACGGTGAATATAATAAAAAAAAAGTATTAACTTTGAACAGCGGAAAAGATCAGAAAGTCAAAAGGAGTCAATGAACAGAGCTTTCAAAGTAATTCAAAGTATCTTAAAATGAGCTTTTCCATAGACTAAGTGTAATTTGCTTTCTGTATAGTGTTTGTATGAACCCTGTCTGATCTGACGATCTTGGGAAGCTAAATGATAAACCGCAACAATCGAGGCAAGAGAAGCTGGATCAACGGCCTGTAGGATGAAATCTAGACAAAACATTTGAGCCGGTTGATGGACGACCATTATACATCTGCTGTAGCTGCTTTATGCTTAAATTTAACAGTTTACTTTACAGCTGCATTTTAAACCCCACAGCTAAGAGCTGGATACTCGGTGACAGAGCAACAGCCCCCATGGGTGAACATGTCTGGTTGCAAGCCATTTTAAACCATTTCCCATTACTAACGACTGTGTATTCAACCCATAGACTGTAAATAAAGATGGACGACACCTCTCCACTTCCCTCGCTGCCATCTTATGCTTTTGACGTCATTTGACTCTGTTCATTAGTGATGGTGGAGTGAAACTGTGGTAACGGGGTCCTACTTCGCCAACAGCGAGTCGGTGACTGCATTTACATGGACACCAATATTCCACGAGTAATCTAACTAACACAACAGTCTGAATAAGACACTGACATGTAAACAGCATTTTCTGATCATCTTAACCTAAATAATGTCACACTCAGAAGAAGCAATGATCGAATTAAGACGTGGAGTATTCCGACCTTAGTTGAACTATGTAGACATGCACATGTCCTATTGCCTAATAACATCCTGTTTGAGTTTGAAAAAGGATTTTGCAACAGCTACATCCACCAAAAAACACCAAAATGGTCAAACAGTAGCATCGTGGATTAAACAGTTTCAGATTGGGCTTTTAAAACTGGCAGAATGACATCAGACTATGCTCTGTAACATGTGAAGAGGAATAGGAATATTCTATTAGCAACTCATGTAAACACGACAATGGAAATAATGGCTCATTCTGAATGAGGTCAGTACTTGGAATATTGGTGTCCATGTAAACCTAGTCAGTGTCAGATGTCAGTCATGACGTTTCACCCAATTATTCTAGCATCAATGACCTAATTAAACCCAAAATTAATGGAATTGATAAAAAAAAAAAATATCTGACATGTACTTTGACTTTTTAGTCTATGTCCCTTCTGCTACCATGGAGGAGGCAGAGTTTAACACCTATACCGCAGCCAGCCTCGAAGGGGCTGATGATTAGGCTTTGCTTTTGGGGAGCTGTCAAGTCGTCCGTTCTCAGAGACAGTATATGGTTCAACTGGAAATAAGCCACTTCCTGTCTGTGACAGCTATTTCTACCTTCATGTGTGTGAGTCTCAGAATGTCCTTGTGTTGCTTCTTCATCACAGATGAGCAGCAGTAACACACCTGCAGTGCAACATGGCTGACCTCTGCGGAACAAGACTGGAGGAGGATGCAGGAGCAGTCAGCTGCATGTTGCAGTGCACAGTAGCATCTCATGGCTGTGGCTGAAAACTTCCACATTAAGTGCAGCTGCAATCAAGTGACCTGTGGAGCTTCTTGTAGCACAGAGGGAAACATTGTCCGTATATTTATTCCTCCTCTTCCTTTTAAATGCGAACAACGGTTTTTTTCTTGAACAACCTCATAGTAAAAATTATGAATTTGCCTTCTGAAATGTGGTGTTTGTAGAAGTGTCACACTGCTGCACCTGATCACTGTAACAAAGGGAGACACAGTACTGTTATTTCCTGTGCTTTGTTTTGACTTGTTGTACTTTGTATTTAAACTGGGGTTTGTTCTCGGAGGAAGGAGAACGCTGCCCTCGGAGTTGTAATATAAAAATTGTAGAAACTATTTTGGACTAAAAAAAAAGAAAATATAATCATTAACTCTGGATCTTTGCAGCGAGGCTCAACATTTTTATTTCAGTTGATGAAAGTTCTAAATGTAAGATGAAGTATAGCTGACGCTGTTTATCTCGATCTTGTTTGATTATTGAGCCACACACTTTCTTAAGTGTTTTTAACCGGATTCATTTGAATGATGGGGATTTTTTTAAAGTTTAATTGATGAGGTCAGTATAAGACCATCGCTGTTTTATATTCACTTTCAAGCCCGACCATTTGTATCCGAGCCACGTGAAACTCACTTTAATTCAGTGTGGAGACACCGAGATGAAATTAAATGATTTCTAAATGATTGTATCCAGATTTATAATCATTGAAAACAGAACGTTTGTGTTTATCTGTGGATGAGTGAGAACCAAATTTTGATTTATGTGAATGTAACTTTCCTGGATCCTTATTTTGTAGTTATATAATTGAGATCCTGTTTGTTTATTTATTTCTTGTGCAGTGGGAGCTATGAATTTAACTTTTAGTGATGGCTGTGATTATTGAATTTATATTAGTATGTTTGATTTTTTAAATGAATGGGATCATGTTGGAGTACAGACACTTCAAATCTTACCAATCTGGGATGTGCAACTACAGACTACATTAAAGTTTTGAATTAATCCCAAGACTTTGATCTGATGTTTGACTCTACATGCGCTTAAGATTAGAACAGAAACACAGTGTGGAGCAGTGCTTTTTTTATGGTTTCAAGAGTTTGATTCCCCATTGAGGCACCACTTCTACCTTTGACAAGAGTAGACCTCACACAGCTTTTAACGTTTGATTGTCAACATGACTATCAGTTCCTCTTAAACAGTAGCTAAGGCTTGTTTTAAAGAATGTTAATTTGACCTCAAACACATGACACTAGCAAGCCGTACCAGCTGATTGTGGAGATCATGTCCTTTAATGGTGGATTGGCCGCACGCCATGTCACTAACAAAAGAGACATCATGCTATGTTTCCCCCAAAACATGCAGCGTTGAATTAGTGATTCATGAGTCCAGTGGACGGAGCTTTTAGGTGCAAGATGTTTTTGATTGTTGTTTTTTCCAACTGTCTTTGATCGACATGTCATTTAGTGTTACTCCGACAGTAAGCTCGACTTGCTCCATCTGTTTCATTAGTTTGCAGCAATCATATGGATTTTCTTCAGGAAATGAACATTTGTTGTATAAAATGCATAATACGAGTTCTTCAGTGCAGGGCTCCTGACTAACTTTCTACATTGGTTGCACTGGTGCTTCTAACTTTTTCATTGAGGTGAACCAGCCTATAATTCAGGTGCACACAAAGATTTTCACTACGACCTTTTGGCATCGCAATAATAAACCCCATTATACCATATGACAGCTCACGAATAAATTGTTAATATCTTAACTATGGCCGGGTTCGGTTTGAATGAATATTGATTCAGTTTAGGATATTTCATTGTACAAGGCAAGTTTGCCTGGAAATGAAATAAATCCTCAGGAAACGTATCTAATACATTTTTTCGCCCTGTCACGATGACAAATTTTGTTGGATGATACCTAGTCTCAGAAAGTCTCAGAAAAAAAAATATATACATATAAGCAATGATTCTAGGAATGTTAATTCTGACATTTGAATAATAATTAAAAATATTAGAATATCCTAAATAAAAAAGTAATCCACAGAAAACCAAAACATAAAATTGACCCTGGCTGTTAATGAATCAAAAAAACACAGTAAACTTTAGTTACTATAGTAAAGTTCAGTACAAACAATAACTGCTGCTTCCAAACAGCCTCAGCTAAAGACGACAAGAGGAAGCGACACGACTCAAATACAGACACAACAGCCAAATGTGTGGCACACCGGCGTGACAAAGTCTTTAGTCGCACTTCAGATTTTTGGTCGCACTCAGGAGCCCAGCACTGCTACAGCTACTGTAACAGATTTGAGGAGCGTCTGCCTTCATAAAGAAAATTATCATCAGCTCCTCACATTGTTTAAATCAATTGAATTCATTGTAATAAGCATTTACAAAGTCAATGAATGAAGCAAAGTTAATATATTCAAAGTGGATAAAGATATTTGATATTTGTCAGATACAAATAAGGAAGTTCTAAAAGAGTCTTACTGTTGATCAGAGTCCACAGTGGATTTCTTCCAAACTACCAAAACCACATTTGTTTACATTTACAAAATACTCTGACACGAGTTTGAGGAAGAAAACAGGGTTTAGCGGTGAAATTGGAGATGTGCCCTACACACTGCATGGCACTCTTCCAAGCAGGAAGTTCATGTAATAAAAGGTCTGTTCTAATGATAGTGGAGGAATCAGTCCAAGAAGAATTCTATCAAAGGCTTCAGCGGGAGAACTGCCTCTTGTCGCCTTTTCCTTTGTTGACGTGCTTGAAGATTCTAGATTTTTGCCCATTCTTGGACTTCTGGTATCCAAACCCGCCTCCGCCGCCTCGCTTCTGAAACTTTCCACCTTTACTGCTGTGGACGTCTGTGGAGGAAGAGCTGGGTTAAGGAAAACAACACTGTTGGGTTCTTTCCCCTTGTTTCATTGTTTCAAGTTACACTTATGTGTGTGTGTGTGTGGTGGCTTCTGTTTTTTAAGTGGCAGTGTCAATTGTCTAAACCAATCCTTTAAAGTGAGGTGTTGTCAGTGCTCAAAGACCTGCAATACTGGTCCCAGCTTACGATCCCTGAGGTAGAGTGGCAGAGACGTCTCAAAGGAAAACAAATACAAAAGCCACAACACAACTACAAAAGCTACGCAACGGAAAAACAAGAGGGGCCTGTGCTACGAAGCAAGCACAACGTACCCCATATAACTTTCCATTATCTGGCTCAACTAAACCAAACAAATGCAGTCAGTGTAAACTGGTTATCAACTCATTCATTTTTTACTCTAGATATGAGCGCGTCCACATGAAACATGAGGAGCAAACTGTTATATTAGAAAAACATGAGTACATGAGATATGAGTCTCTTCTTATTAACAACACCTGTCGAACTGAAGCAGAAGAAACCTCTTGGATGAGAAACATTTTACTTAATCACACGATGTAGCTTCTATATGAGCTTTAGTTTGACACACGCTGTCTGAGGCCTTCCATTGTGGTTGTCTTTCCGACATGTGGCTTTAACAGTTGAGTTGTCGCTCTCGTACTTGGTTTTTTTCCGTTAATGCGCCTGTGTGAGACACCTCCGCAAACCATACTGAGGTCACTATAAAAGAAATGTTAAATGCCTACGCAACAAAAAAACAACAACCAGTGTGTGAATGTGTGTGGAACCAATGCAAAGGATACTCAGGTCAACATATGGGGGAACTTTGAAGCCAAATGAGATTGACACCATCGGCAGGTTGAGAGTGTTGACGCTGTAGATCTGTTTGAGCGAGTGGGAGTCGTAAGCCCTCACATACGACTTGTAGGCTTCTTGCGCTGACTTGTGGAGGTAGTAGTTCTTCTCAATCAGTTTCTCCAGCTGAGGAACAACAAGGTCATATATTTTAATAAAGCAATGACTTCCTTTTAGAAGTTACTTGCACGATCACTGAGGCTAGTGTGACATTTTGATTGGATCTATTTACACATTATTGAGCAATGTAGATTCCTTACCTGAGACTGGATATCAGAGATTTTACTCCAGGAAAATTCAAACTCGCTCAGTGGGACCTAAACAACAAGAAATCATATTAATATGTAGAACATGAATATTTTACTTAAGTCAAACTGTAGGTTATATCACAGACAGAATCTGAAGCTGTGATATCACGGTCCTGTCAATACAGTCACTCAATCAATCCTGCGTCAGTCGCAGCTGCCAATCATGACAGTTTGACGCATTTTCAAAAATGAGGATAAAAAACAATATTTGAGGTAAGTATTAGTTCTCTCTCATTACAAAGTCAGTAACTATGACCCACACTGGGTGCTGTAACAAACAGAAGTTCTGTACAAGAGACACTGGAAGACATGAGCAGAGTCTATGGACAGAATCACATCTCACAGCTTTAACTAGCAACAGATTGAGAACCAATCATATGGCTGGAATAGAGATACAGCCACACCAGGTGAGGTTGACGCACACAGCACAGTGTAGGAGGAGCAGCGCACGTGTTAATGTTTGGGCTCCTGCAGAGAGGTGGACGACTCTGCATCGTTGAAGTGACTGAACATAATCGATTCATGTTTCTGCTACGTTCATAGTTTTAGTGTGTTTTCACCACTAAATAATTATAACACCGCTGCTTTAAGACCAGGACAGACACATATTAAAGGTTCGATCGTCCTGTGTTTGTCTCTGTCAGAGTCGGTTTCCCCCTCTCACCTGCGCTTCACTTCACACTGTAACAATAAACACCAGCACTGATCACAAGTTATTAGGACACGTACAGGACTGACGTTTACTTTGTGTTTGTTTGAGTTGCTCGGGAGTTTATAGGACACATTAAACCTGCTACACAACATGAGACATGACGCACACAGACAGGAGATCACGAGTAGCACACATGGTTACCTTAGCCTGTTTGAGAAAGCGTAGGAAGCCAAGCTCCTCTGGTCGGAGAATGAGGAGAGCGTGCCCTCTTCCGTTGAGGCCTCGGGCTGTTCTGCCGACCCTGTGGATGTACTCCTGTGGACAGAAAGTACAACTTAAAGTCATTTTCATCCTCTGGGCTTTTTTAATTAAAGTGATCCTGTCAAATCATCAACTGACACCAAAGATCTAGTCTTTAAGAGCCAAGTAATTCAGATGTGCGTTTCACAATACAAATAAAAACTGATCTTTAAGATCAGTGTAAATAGTTATGAGGTTTTTAACCATTTTAAGGTTTAAACTAAACACATAAAATATCATGAGCTCTAGAGATAATGTATTAGTCTCAATACCTTGGGATCATCTGGAGGGTCATACTGGACGATCCAGTCCACCTCAGGGATGTCCAGTCCTCGAGCTGCCACATCTGTGCACAGCAGGATGCCTGAATCTGCATTGCAGAACTGGAAGAAGGTGGTGGTACGTTTGGTCTGCTTTTGCTTGCCCTGGGACACGGAACAAAAAAAAACATTCTTAGAGAGCTGGCTCGGCGGATGAGTCTTAACATTTTAGATCGATTTGACTGAAATCCATGCGCAGGAGAAGGATACTGGGAGGTGCGACTCACATGGATGGCCAGGACAGGCAGGTCAATGTAGTTGAGCAGCTCATAGTGGAATTTCACAGACATACAAGATGAGAAGAAGACCATCAGCTTCTTCTTACGGTTCTTCTTCAGGAAGGTGAAGAGGAGCAGGAATCGCTTCTCTGATGGGCATACCACATAGCCCTGAAACACAGGCCAGTTCAAGTCACTATTCATTTTGCTAAAAGGCCATCGCTGACACAACCACTATGCTGTGTGGTAAAGTACCTGCTCGAGGCCATCAACAGTCGCGTTGTCTTTGTTGTCATCCACCCCGACATAGAGGGGCTCTTTCTTCAGCGATATGCGAGCCAAGTCCTCCACCTTACGGGTCTGAGTGGCTGAAAACAGCATGGTCTGTCTCTTCTCTGCAGACAACACAGTCAGAAGCATTGGACAGTGAGTCAGTGAGAGCACATTTAGCCTCAGAGCTGGTTTCATATCAGGTGTCTGTATCCATCCCTACTCTCAACCACAGATTCCAGAGAATCAGCTCAACTGTGCTAAGGGCCAGAAGATTAACGTGCAGTAATCAGCGAGTGGGGAAGGGGGACAACACTGGTGAGTCTAGTGGCCTCATTTTGCAATGGTGGGCCGCTGCTGCAAAACCGATTTAGCATAAACACTGAAATATATTTTAGTACGTAGGACAGCAATGCACTGGAATTCCAGCACAGCGCTGGAGTTTAGGCTCTGGATACGTACTCGGCAGCAGTTTGATGATCTGCTTCAGTTCCTCCTCGAAGCCCACCTCAAGGATGCGGTCTGCCTCGTCAATAATCAGACACTGTAGGTTCTTGTACATGAACCCAGGGGTATTCTGCAGATAAAATAAAGACAATTTGAAAATACTACTATTTGAAGTTTTAAAAAACACTTGAAGTAGGAACTGTGATTCTGTATTGAAAATCTATAACGTCAAATGATAGTTGATATCATTGGTATTATATGGTAGTATATGTACTGATCCATGAAAACTGGTCCATGAAACACTGGCCGTGCCCGCCGGCTCACCTGTAGGTGGTCCAGCAGACGACCAGGTGTGGCAACCAGGATGTTGACACCATTGGCAAGTCTTTGGGCCTCAGCTGAGCGGTTGCTACCTCCCATGACCAGTCCATAGGTGTGCACATGATGAGCCATCAACTCCTTCATCACACCATAGGTCTGCATTGCCAACTCACGTGTGGGCGAAAGTATCACTACACCCGTGCCTGAAAAAAAGGAGAAAGTTAATAGGGCTTGTTGTCTCCACTTCGACAAGTTCAATCTCTCAGAAGCACATACAGTGCTATAGCTGGGAAACATTGGGGAGATAGTATATATTAACAGGGGGATTACCATTCCTGGGCATGAACTTGAGTTTGTAGATGAGCTCTATAGATGGGATGAGGAAGGCCAAGGTTTTACCACTGCCTGTCTTCGCTGCAGCAAGCACGTCCCTACAGATCAGCAAATACACAAATAAACAGAAGCACTGTTACAATATCTTCAATATGAAAAAAATTATCAATAACATTGTGTGATAACATCCTAAAACACATCAATTAGCTACACAAATTGATTCACAAGAATCTTTGCTGCAGAATTACCTTCCTTCCAGCAGGGGACGAATACTTTTATGCTGAATCTCAGTCATGTGTTCAAAGCCCATATCTTTCACGGCTTTCAGGGTGTTGTCACTCACCAACTCAGCAAGAGAGGTAAATGATGTGTCCTCAAATGCTCCTGAGGACACAGTTGACACCATTTACAATAAGTGATAGACTTTCCTAGACTCTGAATTTCAAGAAAGATCAAGATAAAACATGTTAAAAGTCAAAATAATGACAGTAGTCGGGATAAACATGTCCTTGAAGTTGCACAAGTCAGAGGAATCACAGGTGACTCCTCCTTCAGACAATCTCAAGTGTCTCTGTATGCCTTAGTTGACACCTCATTCATGATGAAAACACTGAACGAGCAACACATAAAGGCAATGCAGCCAAATTTATCTCTTAGTTTTCAGAAGGAAAGTGTAAATAGATTTAACAGTTTAGAAATATAATTTTAAACAATAAGACAGAATATGAGAGGTACTAAAGTAACATAGCTGTGCTGTTTTCTACTCTAAACTGATTTCTTAAAGGCCCCTTGACATAAACAAATTCGGTGTGTAAAATTAGTGACATCTACTGGTGAAGTGTAATGATGAACACCCCTCACCTCACCCACCCCTTCCAAACATGAAAGAGAACCTGTGGTAGCCATCAGTTGTCATAACAACTCAAAAGGTGTTTAGTTTGTCCAGTTTGGATGACTGTAAAAAACATGGCGACCTCCATAGAGAAGACCCCGTCCAGATGTAAATATAAAGTATTTAAATACAAAGGGCCCATTTTAAGTTAGATAAAACAACAATAGTACAATTTAGATGAAACACATACCATGTGCATTTTAAATACTAACGGCTAGCAGCTACTGGTCTCATGGTGCAGGATGAAACTCCACAATGTTACAAAGTGGAGAAGACATTCAATGTTATCATACCTGTTAGACCAGATGGTAATTCTGGTTGGTCTTCCTCTTCGCTATCTTCCTCCATATTATTGTCGTCACCCTCTTCCACATCTTCATCTGCATCTACCTCTGACTCATCAGTAGCCTGTTCTCCATCATCATCTGCTACTCCTGCTTCATCTACCTCTTCCTCCTCCTCCTCCTCTGTTGCTTTGGTCTTCTTCTCAGCTGGAATACGGATTGTGACACACGTTAGTTAACGTTACAGAAATCTGGGGTTGGTTCAACTGGACGGATGCTTCATGCTGTTACCTGGAGATTCTTGTGTGTCAGCGAGCTTTCGTTTCTTCTTTTTCTTCCTCTGAGAGAGGGTTCTCTCTGTGGAGGCGTCTTCCACCGGTGCACCGTTCTGCTGCTTCTCTTTCTTCTTGGGCACCTCGTCCTCGACCTCACAGCAGGTTGTTGGTTCTTCAGAACATTCCTCTACAAGCCCCTTTGGATTGACTGCCAAACACATCACACCACAATGAGTAACAGCGATAAATGCAAATATGTAAAATACAAATCAAATTATTTCAGTTAGTTTAATGTGAATATTTAACTGCTGCTCAGTAAAATCTGAAGAGGAAAACTCTGGACGCTTGGCTATGCTACCGTGCTAACCTGCTAAATGCTTACGAAGTGAGGCTAATGATGACATCTACTTGACAAAGTGAGTTGACATGCACACTTAGCTGCTATTAATTATTAAAACCTAGAACTAAAGCTGAACATTTTAACCACAGCGACAGAACCTCCTGATTAAAACCCCGTCGTGTTACCGAAGCTAGCTTAGCTTAGCAGGTCGAGTTGGTCACGGCGTCATGAAACACTAAGGAGCAACAGCAGCTTTATTTCCCAACACGTACCGGCCTCCTCGTCTTCTGCCTGTTTCCTCAGCAGTTTCCGCTCCTTGTTCTTTACATTTCTCTTCTCAATTCTTTTCCGCAGAAGCTTCATCTGCAGGTCCGCCATGGTTACGGCGCACAGTACACGTGTGTGTGGTGCTCAGGAAAGGACCCTCACAAGGACTACTTTGCATTTGCCTGAATGAAAATCCAAAGGACCTCGAAAGCATGCTCACGAGACGCACAGGCATGGGCCTGACCAGTGTTTGTTAAAATGACGTACAAACTGCACTGAAAACTTGTTTTCATTACAAAAATATTTTATACATGTACAGAAATTTAAAACTAATTGTAATACAGTTTGACTGGCAGTTAACCGACATCTCCAATTAGTTTTATTGACCTTTATTATTATTATTATTATTATTATTATTAATTGAACTAGACATGCCACATGCTATCATTATTCTATTGTTTTTATTCAGGGTGAATTCTCTTCATCTGGGACATTAGGTGATGTGGGACAACTAAACTTCAGACTGTTTATTTCCTGTTTTAACAAAATGTAGTCAAAAGGACTTCTGTCAATCAAACCTTCAATCCTGTCAATGTCAATGAGAGGATTCTGACACGATTAATGTGAAGGGTATAAATCTGAAAATAGACAATGCTCCTAATTGTTAGTGGTCGTATGTTTGTGGTGTATTCAAGCCACGAAATATGCATTGAGTTGTTCAATGTAAATGTAAAATGTGGTTGTTTTTTGTGTGTTTTTTTTACAAATAATTTGTCACTTTCTGACTTTATCAAACATAATTGATAATGTGGGACAACATGCTTTGGGTAATCTGGGAGAGTCATTCAAATTATCTAAATGGGGGAAATATGCATTTAAAGACTTCCCAAAGTTAAATAAAAAATAAATAAACTAAAGAGATGTAGCATATGGCCTATGAGTGTCAGCAAGAGTTAATGGTGAACACAGCCAGTCCCTCTCTGTTAAAACTGATTGTCTGGTTAGTTAACTAACACATAATGAGTTTGCTCTGCAGGACCGAGATGATCTAAAAAGCACAGAAGAGTCTGTCCTGTGGTCTGCAGCCATTGGTTTCACAAGTGAAGACAATGAGGGTGATGGATGATGATGATTGAATGCAACTACTGCAAACAAAAAGTTAGGACAGGATAGCTCAACATTTTAAATGCAGGCTGGCCTATTCAGGCAAAACTAAAACATGAGAACATCAGGTGAGCAGGAGAAGAAGAGCAGGGTCTGAAATAAGAAATAATGTTGGTTGCAGATGTTGGAAGACACTTAAACAAGATGATTACATTCATTTAAAATGATTCCTCAATCAAATGATGGTATGGAGGAAATATTGATAAGAGAGCTTTTCAAAAGAAATGTCTTCATTTATGGATCAAATAAAAGAACGCACTGTTGACTAAATTATGATACCTTTAATGTAGGAAGGCTTTGGCAGAACTGCAGGAGCTGACCTTGGAGGAAGCAGGAAGAGAGAGATCCTTTCATTTGGCATCGCAATTAAATGAATCAAATTTAAATCTATGAGGAAGTTGTGATTGTATTTGAAAAGATAAAATAACGTTCAGTGCAACATCCACCATTAGGTTGCTCAAAGAGCAGGGATTCCACAGACAAGCCCTGCACTAGACAATAATAGAAACATCGCTGCCTGCAGAGCGGCTCTGGATCAGGAGGAAAGACACCAACTGGGCCCCAGCATGCGCGGGGCCAAACACACCCAGGTCTGATCAGCCCGTTGTGGCATGCTGAGGCCGGCTAGCAGAGGCACATGATGACACTGAGGAACACAACTGATGATTTGTCCCCAACATCTGCTGGTGATCATGATATATGCTGCAAACTTCACATCAAACTAAAAGCTTCAATTGTGCAAGAGATAATCACCATCTTGTACTGTGTTCTAAAAATGTAACTTTTGAAAAAGAAAGAGGGAAGTAAAAAAAATTAAGGACAATGTTTCTTTACAAGGATTTCTGGGCACAGAAAACAGTGGTATTGCCTTAAAAACGAAATAAGGAGACATGATTTTGCCTGTATAGATATAAATAATATAATATAACGTTAATATAAATCACACCCCTGCAATGTTACGTCCAAAGGAAACGCAGTTTACGGGGTGTCCCTGAACGCCTCAGCAGCCCGTTGACGCTCCGCAGACAAACTAGAAGAAGGAGAAGAAGGAGAAGAGGAACAGGAGGACTCTGTAAGTAACCAACCATTATTTACCCTCTGCTCGTCTCTAGTATCAGAGGGTTCAAAACTAAACACGCTCAAATCGCATCCCGTCTGTCATCTGCTTCGAATAATCGCTGAAGAAGCAGAAGAAAAAAGTTGGCATCCTCGTTTCCGCTGCTTCAGCTTCACCGTTAACCTCGACGATTACACTTTCACGCGCTTTGGTTCAGCTCGTCGGTCTGGAGTGAGTGTTTGTAAAGTTCACAACTGCGTTCATCTCCCTCGAGTGAGGACCTGGAACATAACGCGGGGCGAGAGGAGAGCAGGGGGAAGCCTCCACATTCCTCCTGCAGGGGCCGGAGACAGCTGCTGCTGCTGCTGCTGGGGTAACGTTACGCGTGATAAGGAGGAGAAGGGGAAGGGACGCAGGAATGTGTCAGAGGAACTCATATGGACCACATCAGAATTAAAGGTCCAGTGTGTGAGATTGAGGTGAAATGGATGTATTGGCAGAAATGTGATATAAACTAATCCTAGTGATCATCTAAATTATACAAAATGTTTGCTTTCTTTTATTATGACATCAGAAGTGGGTCCTCTCTACGGAGGCGGCCATGTTTTTTAAAGTCGTCCAAACTGGACAAACTTTTGAGATGTTATGACAACTGAAGCTACCACAGGTTCTCTTTCATGATTGGAAGGGGAGGGTGAGGTGAGGGGTGCTCAGACCCTTTATTCAAAACCTTTCAGAGAAGCTCGGCTGCATGTTTCCACATCATTTTAAAAGTGTCACAGCATATCCTCTGATATGTTAGAGATAAAAACATTAAAGCAAATCACAAGACCTTTTTCCCATATTATTTGATCAGGGTGTGGCGATTTCAGACTCATCATTTTCCTGTGACACACTGAATCCACCCAGATTCTCCCAAGAACACAATCACTCACACTGTAGTCCACTTGCTTAATTTACAGCAGTTAAAAACAGGCACTACACTGAACAAGCAGGTTACAACACTACGATCCTTTCGGTCCGTCCACACGAATGCATTCATGTTTTAAAATGCATCAGCTCTGCTATGATCACACCTGGCGTCCACACTTTTCTCGTCTTCCAGCCTGTAAATCCAAATTTGGAATCGTGCTGGCTCTGCGCTAGTTTGGAATCTCTAGGTTTGCATTTAGTCTCGATTGGAAAAGGACACTTGGAAAAAATTATGTCGAGATCCACGTTCGCTTACTAATTGGTCAAGACTCATCAACCAGCACCATACACAACTTGAATGACAACTTTCAAGCTCTGCTAACATTTACTGTCATCAACAGTTTTGCCTCGTCGTGGGCCCAAGAAAAGAAATCCCTGCTCTTACTTTTTCCTGTGGCTTTCGTCTCTTTTGTTGAATCGTCTATAAATAAGCATCAAACTTCAGACTAAACAATCTGCTGCTACATGCCCAGTGTACACGCTAATGTGATATGCATTTTCAGGTGTGGTTGTAAACAGAGATTGTTTCTGAAACTTCAAAAATACTCATCTGGAGATCTTTTTTATTTTAGATTTTGTTTTAAAATGAGTGGACGTAGCCTTTGTGGAAACAAAGAGCAGCATGAAGAAAACCCAAGAACAGAAATGACATATATGATTATTGATTACAGAGCGGGGAAGGGAGATATGGAGAACCACTCGGCGCATTTTAATACCTGGTGTAAACAGATGAACGTAGGCTGTTTAACCTGTGATCAGATCACTCAGGAGGGATGTTAATACCAGGTCTGAACAAGGCCTGAATGAATATTCTGTTAGAGTAATGCAGACCAATTGACACTTAGCAAGCTTTTCTTCACCAAGTGTGGTTTTTCTAAGTGGCTTTGATTTCTGAGTAACAGTCAGGTTTTAAATTCCTTTACAAAATGAAGAGGTTAAAGATACACACCCAGTTCATCCATTTCCTGCAGAATTGCAAAATGCCTTGTTACATAATGCATTCCAATACTTACATGGTCAAAACTTACATAGTCACAATTATTTATATATTTGATATATCGATGTACTTTAATGTTAGCCGCACTGTAATGACAACATCAATCCTTTATCCTTTATCTTGCTCGTATTCATTCTCAGTTTTTTTTAACCACGTTGAACACTATTCTGTGTACATCTCGTATCTCTAACAAAACTACAAGTTTGCTCTCTGTACAAGTCAGAATCAGAGCGAGATGTGTTTTTGAAATGTCACAACCTCAGAGCCGTTTGCTCCTCATGTGACAATTTGATAAGGTGAAGGAGCGAGGCCACTCTTAGTCAAGGTGAGGCAAGAGAAGTTATGACCAGCCCTATACAACTACTGTGTCGCAGTGGAAAAGTTGAATGTGTCCTCTCAGTCATAGATACTGCAGCATGGAAAATAACTCGAGAGCAATTTCACCTACACGTGCTGGGTCGTAATGGATTTTGTAAAAGGTTGTTAAAGTGGATAATCTTTTCTTTTTCTGACAAAGCTGACAACGATCTTTGTCGTTTAGACCAGCAACACTAAGTTGTTTGGATCCGGCAAATGTTTTGAAAATCATTTGATCAAATCAATCTTCATGTTAGGCGTCTGCTGGTTCTTGCCACTTTAAAAATCTTTTTGAATGTTGGTCTATTTTTGAAATTTCACAGATCAAATGATTCATTGATGAATCGAAAAAGAAAATAGATTGTGAGAATAATCATTGGTTGCAGCTCCAAATGTTATCCATGAGAGCGTTTAGTTTTATGTGTGCATGTGGTGATGTGCATCCTCACACCATGTCAGTGCCAAATTACATCCAGTCTTTAATTTTTAATGTTTGAAGAAGTTGACTCATCTCTTTAAGAGTTAACTATTGTAGTGCCCATTCTAAACCCGCCTGTTTCTAAGTTTTGCCTCGCCTGTTTACTTGCCCTGTGGCAAAGCTGGTTGCAGCTTTCTTTCTTACACTGTAAAAGTGACCTGCAATATTGAGCTAGAGCAAAAAAGAGCTGTTCATCTGTTTGCTCAAAGCTCAGTGGCGCTCGACTCAGTCCGCAGAGTATCAGCTTTCATTGCTGTTGTCCTGAACGTGCTGTGATCGTGGTCGACAACGCCACTTGCGTAGATGAGCCCCAGCCGCTGCTGCTACAGAGCGCTGGTGGCCTGTTTATTCAAGGTTTGTTAATGTTGACTGTGTCATGTGTACAAACAGCACCAAATTTGAAACTGCACTTCCTTGGGCCCATAACAACACACATGTGAAGAGTGGAGCCGATAAGATGAACCACTCTCATGATATGTGGGTCACAGTCAGACAGACATTTCCGGAATTATTAGATCGATAAAAACGTAAAAATATAAAAAATATCGTAAATCTAATTGTCTCCTTTCTTCATTTTAGCTGCATTTTTTTGGCATCAATTTTGTTTCTGATACAAAAAAGAAAGTAAACCAAGACCCTCTTACTTTGGATAACTATATATATATATATATATTTATATACATATATTTGAGTGGCTACTGCATGGCAAAGATAATATTTATAATTCTTGCCATGCATTAGCCACTCTAATAAAAGCTTTAACATTTTTCCACAGCAGAAGTGCCTTGGTTTATTTGAAAAATATATTTTTTCATTAAAATTTACCAAAAAGCACCTTTTTGTTATTAGACATACTGAGTGTTTCTAAATAGACCTGCTCCTTTTTCTTTCTCTGCCTTTCTAATTGTGTTTCTGACTTTGTCCCCAGAGCGACACCCCACTGTCTGTCTGTGGCAGCGTGTGTGTCCCTCTTGACAACAAGCTTATAGCAGCAGTCAGGTGACCATGAGTCAGAGTCCCAGCTGTGCAGGAGGGTAGCCATGATCTCCACAACCATAACAGAGAACACTCCGCTGCCAACACGCAATGGCTCATCAAGGCTTGTTGCCTTTGCTGTCATTGTTGGAGGATGTAGAGGATAACAGGCGCCATCAGAGGTCAAGGGTTAACTAATCATCCGTTCTCTATTCCTGTTCACAGACACATCACAAGGGACCAGACATTTTTAAACATGCATTTTTATAAACATTTATAAAACATTTATAATGGAGTGAAGGGAAGTGTATAATAATGTATACAATACCTTTCATATGGTATCATTGAATACTTCTGTATTATTTAATGATAATATATATAAGGTGCTACACTGCAAATAGTTAACTTGTCATATACAAGTAAAATACTGAAACCAGCCACTAGGGATACACTTTTGGGTAGCTCTAGTGCCGGTCCCATGCCCGGATAAATGGTGAGGGTTGCGTCAGGAAGGGCATCCGGCGTAAAACTTGTGCCAAAACAAACATGCGGATCACAAATAGGAGGGGTAGTGGATATATTGGCAGATGATCCGCTGCGGCGACCCCGAAAATGGAGCAGCCGAAAGATGAAGAAGAAGATACAAGTAAAATACTGCATATAGAGTTAATGGCCTGTATTTAATTGGCACTTTTCTAATCTGGATGAATCCTCTAAGTGCTTTACAGTACAGGTTTAGCCATCCACCCATTCATACACACGTTCATACAGTGCATCTATGTGCAGACACACACTGTTGGCACAGGTTCAGTTTTTGACACCTTGGCACAGGAAAATATGGAGACTGGGATCGAACAGCTGACTTTCTGGTTAGAGGATGACCGGCTCTACCACCCGAGCCACAGTTGACTTGTCTCTGTGTTTGCTGTCAGTCTCACCTGTTGCTTCTGCCCCTGGGTCTCCCTCAGCACCATGTTGGCTGCAGCCTCCTCCTCCTCCTCCTCGCTTCTCTGTCTTCATCAGCTGCTGTCCCTTCCTGACCCTCTCTTGCTGCTTCAGCTGTCGCAGCAGTGCTGGTTGAACCCTGGAAATATTCCAAACAAATGAATTGAAGTATTTGTAATTTACCACACTGGTTGGACTGCTCATCTTTCCAATAAGTGTTTGAGGTCCCCTGTTGTGCAGACACCTCTGGTTCAGATTATCTTTGGGCCCCTTTACATTGAGCCCTTTAGAGTCCTTGAATCCTATATTATTGGTTGTGGATTGAGGGAGCAAACATTGTGACCATTTTGATCCACACAGATACAGGGGTGCCGTTCATTTCATATGCCAAGAAAAGGACCAGGTAGAGTTGTGAAAGTGCAATGGGTTTGTTGTTTACTACATCCCATTCATTCCTTAACCTGTTTTCTTGTTGCTTCTTTTAGAAAATGGTCCAGTAGGAGTGGAAGATGCCAGTTATGAGTCAGAGTAGTCCCTGTTTGTGGACTCAGCTCCCACAGAGCAGCAGGTCCCCATGTGACCGCTACAAGCACGCCTGCTGCAGCTACGATGGACACGTATATATCCTGGGCGGAAGAGACAACAGCTGTCTGAGGGATTTCTGGAGGTACAGTGTAGGTAAGAGCAAACAAACGTGACTAGTGTTCAATTCATTTCAGTGCCACATTCAAAGCAACAATGTGAGTGACCTACTAGGTTCAGTGCCATTATTATGGACCTAATCAAAAGCCAGAAAACAGAGAACAATGAGCTGCGTTGCAATCAAACACACAATTTTGTCCAATATCTTAGTGTGCAACGAGTGGAAGGAGCTGAGCTGCAGCAGTGAAGCTGCACCAGAAGAGCTAGAGGAACATTCTATGGTGGCCCATGAGGTACAAACCCATCTGAATAACATTTTTCTTTAATCCCCTTTTCATACTATAACTACTAAAAATATATTTGTCACTTATGTATCTGACAAAATCCCTATGTGGTGTGTGTGTGTGTCTTTCCAGGGCTTGCTGTATGTGTTTGGAGGCATGTTGGATTCTGCATACACCATGTGCAGATGTGCCCTCTGGGTGTTTGACATTGGTGAGTTCCACTTCAGACGTTGATGCAAGATGCAACTTGCACTGTCAGCCATGAATGTTGATTCCTGTCTCGCTCGTCTATAGTTGTTTGTGAAACCTGTGCTTTCGGTACTTGTGCAAAAATCCCATTTTCCGAACTAAAGAAAAAAACTCTTCAATTATGCATTGAAATGTACTATTTGAATAAAAATAAAAATAAAATGTATAATGTTATATAATCTTGAATTATAATAATCAATATAATAATATAATGGCTTCATCCACATTTATTGTTTTCCAAAGTTCTGTTGTCCTCCCTCAAAATTAATCGTTAATCATTAAACTATAGCTATTATTTCAGAAATTCAAATTAATTGACTATTTCATTTGATTGAATCAGTCCATCACTGTCCCTCTGCCAGTTTAACTGTTTCCCATATCTGTCATATCTTGTACTTTGTTATGGAAGTTATCTGGAAGCTGGTGAAAGGAGAACTCAGGCAGCAGCAGAAGAGTTTAATGTAGACTTGATGCATCAAGGAGAACAGAAGGTGCAAAAATATACAAACGCTAACAGAGTAACATGAGCAATTGTCACCTCAAAGTCTGAAGATGTCTCACACAGTTTCCCCATATATCTTCCTCTACTTGCGTCGTCCCTTCCAACAGTCTAAAGTATTCATCCCTAAACCACATTGTGTGGTCTTGCTGCAAAAGAGTTGAAGTTGGTGTCTCTCTCTCGGTGCATCTGAGTTAGATATCATAGTCTCTAAGTGTAGACACTACAATGTACTGTTGGTTGGTTCTTTATCTATAACCTGACCTTGGGTACTGCTTAGAGAGAAGAGAGTATCTGTGGAATTAGCCAGGCGCTCTTCTCTTAATGGTGTACAGATATAATGTAATATACACTATATATATATATATATAATACGGTATATAGTGGCATATACAGTAATGTGTGAGGAAATACAAAAAGTCCTCAACATACTTGACATAGGTTTCTAGAGTTAATATTTCCTCTGGACAATGTCTTCCAACAGGTTAAAATATCCATTTTGAAGTCTTTCTCATTGTTTGAGCTAAGAAGGAAGACACAGTTCACCACCACAGGGTTTATACATTTTAAATCCTCCTTCAGTCTCTGTCAGCTTTTACTCTACACTCTACTCTATGAACTTTGTATTACTTTTTCAGCAGACCTTTATCCTTCTGAAAAAATGATGGCTTTAATGTTTTTCTTTCCCTTTTATAGAAGTTTGAAATTTGAACATGAGGTATGCAAAAAAACAACAAAAGAAGTCACATGTGCTCTACTTTCCTTTTCCTTGTGTTTCCCTCAGCAAAGCAGAACTGGGTGACCTACCAGAGTAAGATGAGCTCCCCTCAGGTACATAGCACCTTTCAAACATTTCACAAAGTATCAGATATTATGAAACCACTCTCCTCTTGATCCTGCCATGTTTGCTTCCAATGTAGCCTGTTTTAAAATAGAGGACAAATACTATCAAACAAACACAGGATAGGGCTGACCTGCATGCCTCAAAGCTTCAACTGTTGCCATAGTAATTGACGTCCAGATCCGTATTTGAAAAAATAAATAAATTGTTATAAATTGCTTTTCCACAAAAATCAATCAATCACTCAAATTGGAATAGAAATAAGAAATAGTAGAAAAGAGATTGATAGAATGACGTCTCATTGATAGTGTTGTGCATCAGAGCTCTCACTAGAGTAACCAGCACTGGTACTGCAAGACCATGTGACAATGTGGCAGGCTTACAAACTACAACAATGCTAGAAAGATATGGAAAAAGTCAATGAATAACTTCCACATTTTTGAAAATGGCCCACAACAAGTCGAATGCCACATATGCTGACGGAAATTGACACATCACAAATCTCTGTATAGTAAGCTGGTAGAAGCAGCAAGTATTGAGAAATGTAAGCTCTGAGAAAGTTCTGCATTTCAAAAAAAAAAAAAGGAAATTACACATTTCAAGGCGTTTCAGGCAGGTTCAACATGTCAGAGACGTCTCAGCACCTAGAGTTTGGAAAACTATCCAGTGTATCTGAGAGTAAACGGAAAGTTTCAAGTGAGTCCCATTGTCTGTTAGCAGATGGTGAGTCAACTCTATGTATTTATATGTGTGTATATTTCTGTCTGTGTGTGTAGACCAAAATGCCAACCAACAGAAAGGGACACAGTGCTGTGGTGGTTGGTTCTGACATGCTGGTGTATGGAGGTCTCATAGACATGAAAGGATCTTCACAGGACTTTTGGGGTTTGGATTTTGGTGAGTTAAAAAGATGTCTTCACAGCTACACGAGGATATTCACAGCATGTTTTTACTTGTTGAGTTTTGACAATGTGTCAGGTATGTACGCACTTCTAATGATGACGACACAGACACAAGCTTGGAACTATAGTAAAAGTACAATCATAGCAGGCTGTGTTACATACACTGCAATGAACAAAGAATAAATGGGGGCTCTGTAACATCAGGTAAAAGTTACAAATTGTTAAAGAAAGGCATTTCTGTAGTGAACACCTCACGACTGTTCACAGGCAGCATGTCAGAAATACATGATGACTACCTGGAGCAAACTCCAATATGTGTATTAATTATCTGTGCCTCTGTGTTTTTATGTGTGACAGATACCATGGCTTGGTCCTTGCTGAGTGGTTGTCAGCAGGGCTCTTCAGGCCCAGGCCCCAGGCACAGTCACTCAGCCGTGGCCTACCAGGATTGCATGTACCTGTTTGGGGGCTTGAAAGGCTTGAGGGAGCAGAGAGACTTCTGGAAGTGGAGTTCCATCAGCCACACTTGGAGTTCCCTCAGAACCAAGTAAGACGTGATTTCAAAATCACCAGATTGCCTTTAATGGACTGAATGGTGACGATGATAGCTGACTAATGTAACGACTAATTATTAGCTGTTGTTAGCCTTAACAAGGTAACAAGCTGGGTAGGGTCGTAAAAATAACATTTCTGATTAATAGTGGATATGTTTGGGTGGGTGACATTGGCCAACTGGAAGAGACATCGGAGGACAATTTGCTTTCTTTTTGGGGGGAACAAGGCTCCTCATTCCTATGGCTGCAGCACCTTGCAAAGAGAATCTTGTGCCTTCATCTACAAGCATGAGGAGAGGCGGATAAATGAGCATTCAAAACAACACAGGAATCTCGTTCAGGTGAGGGGTGGCACAGCATGCACAAGGCAGGATGAATTCAGCTGCGCAGATCACACATTTTTGTTTACAGTACATCTGCACTGGTGTCAGCCCTTACCCCCAACCGCTGTCAAATCTCGTCTTTCCAAGTTGACGTTAGAATATATTTTTATTGTCTTAAAATAACAACAACATCAAAAACAAACAAGCAGATAGCAGTAATTAAAAGCTGGGCTAAAATCCATGAATAGGACTCTGGCATATATTGTTACTGTTAAGCAGAGACAGCACAGCATCATCTGTGCCTGTGTCGCTCTTATATGCAAACTGAAGTGGATCTAGCAGATCTGTAGTCTCTCCCACCCCTGTCTTGGACATTACCAGTTAAAAATGGGCTTTCTATTTTATTTTAAAAATCAAGTTTTGCCTTAGAAATGTCCCCACTTAACGGTCTCCTTTTCTCACAGTAATTCCTTATTACCAGTGCAGAAAACAAATGTCCTTTCATTCAAACAGCTTTTCCCCTGTTTTAATACCCAAGACTTGGGAACATTTTCAGGTTTAGTTTCAGACACAGAATTTAATGTACTAATGACGTAATAGTGTCTGTCAATTCATCAGCCTCCTGGCGGGATTGAAGGAAAATGTCTTTTCAAAGCAGTCCCTGAGTTGCTCTTTCCATCTATCAGACAACACCTGTATTTGCTTGGTGACAGGTTTCTCTCTCTTTACCACAGCCTTGTATTTTGGGAAAGAGATGAATTACCTTGTGCTCAGATTTCACGATTTCAGATTTCTGCTCAGAGTCCGTGTCTTCAATGTGTATGGTGTGTAACATGCATCCTCTTTTTTTCATTCTGAGATATTTGTATTATTTTTTTAGTTCTGCTTCTGTGACATTCTAGAAACTTCGCCCACTCGCCCATGTGAGAACAGCAGGAGATCCTGCTGTGTTCTCACATGGGCTCATTCAGACATCCTGAGAAAGTCTGCAGCAACTGACTTGGACATTTGCGTTCTCACGTACAGCCCCTCCAGAAAATTTCAGGAGCTTATCAGTAATTCACTTCAGGTCTGAAAGCAGTTATACACTCAATTTTGCATAAAAATTCAAATGAAAATTGAGTAAAATCATTATTCCAGGATGGAATGATAGCCAAACCTAGAAAAACAATACCTATATCTTGCAGAGAAAAACAAGAATAGTGCAGCCTTGTGATATGTGACATTGAGCACCTTTACTTTTGGTTGGATTCAGGAAATTGGATGGATCAGGCTGACGTAAGTCGTCTCTTCAGCTGTAGGATTTATTCTAAGTGTATAATTGAAGGATTTCCAGCCTTTCTCTGTCACAGCTGGGGAAGAGGCCAGTGCACACAGTAAACAATGTGTTGTGTGTTTTCCGTCCTCTTACCACCCCCTATGATTGTTTCCCTCAGGTCCGGTCCCTCCAGACTGATGGGTCACTCAGCTGTAGCCTACAAGGACAGCATGCTTCTTTTTGGTGGAGGCGAGAGCCAGAACTCCCCAAACAACTGCCTGTGGAGGTACAGCTTCACCTCTCACACGTGGGGGCAGGTTGCTACCCTCCCAGGCTCTAGCCCCCCGGACAAGATCCACCACTGCTGCACTGGTCTGGGTCCGGGGTACAAGTCCGACACCAGCAGCCCGTCCTCCACCTCAGGACACCAACCCAGCCTAATGGAGGACAAGCTGAGGCCCTTCAAGAACAAGTGTTTCCCTGCACCTCTCACATTTCTTGGATCAGAGGGAGCTATAGAGCTGGAGACGTTCAGCCTGGACAAGTGCTACGAGAGCAAAGCACTCATGAAATCTTCTCAACTGGACAATAGCAAAGAGCGCTTGATAGAGAAAGATACAAAGCAGATCGGATACTGTTTGACCTTTGAGAACAAAGCATTCAGGAAACAGTGGAGCTGCACAGACGAAGACCTGATCAATGAGGACGATAGTGACATAATCCAGCACCTGCCCGATCTGCTGCTGGTGCTTGGAGGGAAACCGTGCTCCAGTCACAGCCCGATGTCTATATGGCAAATGACTCTCACTGACTCATAGTGGCCTGTGAAAGAACATTCAACAGATATTTTCTTCACACGAGGAGTGTGGAAAAACTGTGTTATAATATCACTTCGTCAGTGTTCTAACATCACTTTATATTTTTTAATCTCACATATTCAAAGAGCTTACATCATCCTGTAAATAAGAAAACAACTTGAAATATTTCTATAAAACTACTGTCTATTTTTTTGTTGTGAATTTATGCATTTCTCACATTTTATATTAGCGTTGCTCAAATAAATCATTCGAAAATGGCATGAAGACAGAAAGACCTTGTAAGTTACTAAAGTCATTAACAAGTGTGTATAGCTCCAGACCCTTACAGCCAATAAACAAAAAGAAGTATATCTGATTGATTAATGGATTGATGGATTAATAAGTATATAAGCAGTAGTGTAATTACGAACACAAAGGAGTAAGTACCACTGACTGTACAGAAGCTTCTCTGTTCACTCCAACTGAACAAAAATGAAGCCAGCATATCTCGGATTCAGGTGCTGCCATGTTGTGACTCCATTTGGACTCAGAGTCTGCGGTGTGGAGCTGCACTGTCTGCTTGATGAGGAGTTTATGACATGTGCAGCAGACAGCCACCAGGGTGCGATCAACACATTTGGGCTTCACTTGTTACTTTCATATGCTGTCAGGAAATGTGTATACAAGTTCTGAGTATGGTGCATAACGCATGAAAATCAGGATCAGTCAACACCTTCGACCTCCTCCTGTGGTAGTTTATTGTTTATTAGTACTGAATGTATGTGACATATTTCAAACCCATAATCTGCCACATCTGCAGGGTGCATCTGACAATGTACGATTTCCTTTACATGACACAAACATGGCATCATCCTTCTGACAATCCCTATAATATGACCTAACCTACACACGATGGCGCCAGAGCTCAGTGTTGTGTTGGTCCCTCTGTCTCACCAGTAACTGCAGGAGTTGAGGCACAGTATACTACAGCAATAGTATAATACGATAGCATAAGTAGCAGTATGCATACTACACTAAATGTGTATAAATCCTCAGCTAGAAGTATGCGTAAATGAATGCCCCCTCCACTTGATAATGAAACAACATATTTGTGACATAGCCTATTTTATACATGCAATAGCAATTAGTGTCCTTGGGATAGAGAGTTGCAGGGAAAGTCAGAGAGTATTGAGCTCAGGAATTATTCAGAGCCAAAAAGTTTTTATAGTTGCATCATTTTATCGGATACAGGTATTCTAGATGTCTGTGCATTGTTTTATACACATTATAAACTGAGCAGAGGACATTAGGTATCTGTGGAAACTTAAGGACGTCCAATAGAATTCAAAGTTGTAGTATTTTAAAAAAAGGAGTTACTGAGTCATTTCTAAATAAATTCTAATACTAGCATCTGTTACACTCTGATGAACAAGGTAAACCTATTCTTAGTGTGCACGTGATTCGTGTGTGTACCTGTCGGAAAGTAAATGAGCTGTTATGCCGCACGTCAAGCTGCTCTAATCCATTACTGCTGCACCTCCCTTTATCATTATACTTTGTATTATACTTCATCACTGCTCCATGAATGACACAAAAACTACCACATATACACTGATTACACCTACCATGACTGGCCTCATTATTGTAATATTCTGTGATTCATTCATGCCTCAGTCGCCCATGTTGCTTTTATAGACTGTTTAATAAAGTCTTCCAAACTATTCATCTTGTTGAAGTTATGGCATCACTTTATTACAACCTATATTACGACCTAGTTTAAAAGAGTGGTTCTCAACCTGTATATTGCAATTTTTTTGTGGTCTATCCATCCATCTATCTATCCATCTATCTATCCATCCATCTATCTATCCATCTTTCCATTCATCCATATATCCATCTATCTACCTGGTGTGCAATGAAAGGTCTTATTCGGTAGATGGCGCTCTTTGTTTGGTAATCTGGATGATAACCAGCCATGAACTAATTTGACTGAAGTCCCTGACAACATTTATGACTTTATCCAGATCCCTTGACATATATGATGACTTTTATTTCAAATATCCTATTTATACAATAGGATATACAATTTAAGAAAATCTGTTTATAACTGAAGGTTTTTCTTCACCTAAATAAATGATTCCAGGTGACTGGGGGTTCCTGTGCTGGTTTAAATTTCTGGTCTGTTTTACATGACCTTATAACGTGATGTTTGAGATGTGGCTGAGTGTGGACTTTACGCAGTGTCCTCACCAAACCTGTGAATGAATGATGTTCAAACTGGATAATCAAATGAAGTTACGCACAGTCACAGGCTGTAGGTAAAATAACGCGAGCCTTTATGTTGGAAGGAGGAAAAGAAGAAATTATGCAACCTCTCTGTGCAGCGTGTTACCATAATAAACCCGTGTCCCATCAGTGGGGCTCTGGAGACGTAGTAGTCTAATAATCCGGTGCGTCCAGTTGGTGGAAATCCCCACGTGGTTTCCACTCGTGTATAAAAACTTTGGGTGAGCGGAGCCCCTGTTGTCGTGATTGCAAAGGGAGAGCAGGGTCTCTGTGAGCAGCAGCAGCATCTCGCAGGGACGCACGGAGTTGGCCATCCACAGCTACGCGCACGGGACTCCGCACTCACTCAGTCACTCAGTCACTCAGGCGCATTCACAGAAACACGCCGGGACCTACGGAGCGCTGACACTCTCCTCGGGAGCGCGGCTGCATGTTGTTTGAATGGGGGAGACGGTACTGAGCTGATGCGCACTGGGTTTAATTCAGACTTATCGGTGACCTGTCCGCTTGTGTTTTGCTAGATTACGCGTGTGAGGTGAACGTGGCATGACTGGAGCGCGTCAGCTACATGGACTTTTATTTTGCGCGTTGCTGGACAAGTGAGCGCACGATGACAGGAGTTAATTAGCCTCATCACTTGAGCTGCACTCTTGTATGACTGGGAATACAAACCTCTCATTGGCCTCTGTGGATGACTCTTGGAGAACAAGTGGATGTGCCCCCGGAACTTTCATATGTTTTACATTAACTTGCGTTCACTTTAGAGTGTGTGCGCGCGCGTGTGTGCGTGCTAGCCGGTGTGTATGCGTGTGTGTCTTTTCATGCTTGTTTTGATTAGCCCTTTGGACTTACACCTTTAAATTGAGAAAATGAGCTTATACAGTCTGGCGTTGTCCTGTTTAGTCGCGTGCTTTGTCTCCGTGCGCTGCAGCTCGGTGACGGGGGCAGAGGCGCAGACCTCGACCCAGGAGTCGTGCGCGTCCTGCGGCCTCAGAGCGCCGGATCAGTCGGAGCGGGAGAACATAGACTTTTTGGAGGCGGTGAAGAGGCACATTCTGAACAGGTTGCAGATGAGAGAAAGACCCAACATCACCCACCCCATCCCGAAGGCTGCGATGGTGACGGCGCTGAGGAGGCTGCACGCCGGCAAAGTGCGAGAGGACGGCCGGGTGGAGATCCCCAACTTTGACGGGCAGTCTGCGTACAACAACGAGGTTCAGGCGGAGACCTCTGAGATCATCAGCTTCGCCGAATCAGGTAGACATCAATAATTCAACTAAAACATCTATCGACCCCTGGATGAACCCATCCAGTCTGACTTTATGCAACAGGCAGTGTAGGTGAGTTAATAACCTCACATAGTAATCCACAGTATTGTTTTAATCAATGGAGAAAGAACTAAGACATAGCAAGTATTTATATGAACTACATTGGATCCAGTGCTGTCATTGCTCCCATCCTCTTGTTTACTGTATAACTGAGAAAGACACTGCTCCTGATGCAGTGTGTATGGATGTGTGTGAATGGCTGAATGAGATATACACTGTAAAGGGCTTTATCTGCTCTAAAGACTAGAAAAGTGCAATAGAAATTAAGTCCATTTACCATAAACTGTTCACTCCCGCCTGAAGCCAATACTTGGTGTTAAACCTCCTGTTTCAGCTTGATGAAAATGAAGAAGAAATGAAACTAAAGAAAGAGTCCTTAAATTACCCCCGTGTGTTGTCTAGGGGATAAAAAGAACCTCTGAATCCAATTTCATCACTAAAGCTCTGCTCACACTCAATACTCCAATGTATAATGCCCTCTTTTAAATACGGACAAAGTCCCTCAATTGGCCATTTATCCCTTCCTCTAAGAATGTGTATCTAACTAATTCTCAGAAGTCCAAAGAGAACCCCCCCACACACAGGCACACACATACACATATGCAGGCTTACACACACACATATGCTCAGACCTAAAATCATCTGTGCTTGACAGAATCCAATAATTGTCAGTTAGCGCTGTGAGAACATCTTTGACACAAACTGTTAGTTTAACAAAAAGAAAACATACAATTAAATGCACCAAAATAGGATGAGTTCACACAAACACACACACACACACACACACAAACACACACACACACACAATCACACACACCATCCTGTCTTTTCCCATTGGCCCTGCCGGTACAATTAGCCTGAATGGACTGCTGGGTCCTGCCTTCCAATGGGAATGATCTGAGCACCCTCATGACAAGGGAACAAAAGCAAGGCAATTATTATAAGAGCACTATGTGTTCCTGCCGAACACAGCATGTCAACGTTAAGAAGAAAAAAGCAGGGAAAACAAAAGATATTGCTCAGAATAATGCATGAGACATTTGAGTCCATGCAGGGTTGGATTGGGGAGTGTGGGTGGAGGGATATGGCATTGGTGATGGGGGGGGGTGATATTGTGTGTGTGTGCCCATATTGCAGTGTTGTAAAGAATGCTTTTGTCGTTCTAAAGGTTCGCTGGGCTCCTTTGCTTCTTCTCCTTCTTCTCCTTCTATTTTTTTCCCAAGTTCCATTCTTCCTCACACCTTTGAGCGTTTGTGTGGCATTGTACCATGGAGCTGGCTTGGGTCCCTGCTCCCTAGACCCGGTCTGCCTCCTGGCCAGCTGGCTCACGCCCCAAGATCAGATACTGCCAGCCGGGGCATGGCTCAGAGGCAAGGTCTCCAGAAAGCTCCGAAGCCAGGGGAGCTTGTCCCCCCCAAGCATGAGGGAGCCTGAATTGTTGTTGTCAAAGTTTAGGACAAGGCAGGTGGGGGGTGAGGTTGGTATATGTAGTGAGCCAACAAATGGACGTGGATAGGTGTTTATGTGCTTTGTGTATGTGTGAAACAGGGAGGTCAGCATATGTCCTCTGCTTCCCCTGAGCACAGGGTTAACCTCGGCTTCTTATCTCCGGTTGCAGTAGTGCAGAGGTATGAGGTCTGCCAAGCAACCCCCGGGCAGGTGAGGGAGTCGATGCCAATCTCCCTTCTCCCCTGACATGGTCCCATGGGTCGTCGCTGAGGGATTTGGTGTCCCGTATCCACGGGAGCGGAGCGAGGAACACATACAGGGAAGGAGGGAGGGCGAAAGAGAGAGGAGTCGATGGAGAAGTTTAGATCGGCGCTTCTTGATTGCTCGCTGTAGCTGTTTGGACCCAGTGAACTCGTGGCGAGTGGTCCAAGACATGGAATTAAGACTTCATTATGGGAGGTCATTAACTCCAGCCCGGTTCCTCCACAGGATCAGTTGGCAGGTTTACTTCAGGACACAACTCTTTCATGAGGAGCTGTCAGTCAGGGCGCTGCTGGACCTGGTCCAGACATTTTCCACATTCACTCACAAGTGTGTGTTGTAGTCAGTGGGCCTTGCTGCCTCTGTTTGACATGTGATGCTAGTAATAATGTATGCTTTATTAATAAAAAATTATTCATAATTATCCATATTCAAGTCTCAGCGAGAACAGACTCAGTGCCGCAGAGCCCAATAGTCCATCATCTCACCCCTACCCCTCCGCCGCCCTCCCACACCTCCTTAACCTTTCCTCACGAGCTGAGACTCAGGCCTGAGGGATGGCTGTTACATGTGCACACGCCTCTGCTCATGTTAATGCCACACATGCTCTCTGCCGAGCCCTTGTCCTTCCACGCCGTGTGGTCTTTGTCGACAGCGGCTTTGAGTAATGAGCTCTGGAGCTGCCTGCCTGCTTCCATGGCCTCTTCCCTGACTTGGTGGCGCAGGTGGAGACARGCTGAAGCAGCTCTTTATCCTTGTGAGCCCACCCAGGTGTCCTGGCTGCTGATACTCACCAGCAACCTTTCCACTGCGGGGTCAGGCGAGGCGTGTCTGGGCCAGCTAACACTGGATGAAAAGAACAATTCTTTCTTTAAGAGGAGCTCACTTGGAATAAGGGATGTTGATGTATGTGCTCAGTCCTATGGAAGCCCAATGATCTAACTTGTATGCAGCGTAGGAAACATACTGTAGAAGTGATGCTGAAGGGACGTCAGTGGTCCTCAGTGATCAATCGTTTGTTTACAGTCAAATATTTATTTCATCATTCAAAGTACTTTTGCCAGATGAGTAGACTTCCTTCTTGACTTCCCATACACCAGCTGTCTCATCTGAAGGTCCATTACTGTCTGTTTCTGCAGCATTACAGATGTTTCATAAGAACAGAAAATTGGTCATCTATGATTCTGTGACAACTGTTCTGACAAGGATCGCATTGGTATGACTGCTACTTAAGTGACCTTGAGATGACATCGGTTTGCCAACTGTACAAAAGTTCATGCAGCTGATGTACTAAATCTCAGCTGAACCTTAATTTTGGTATTTACTCCGTTACAACCCCTTCTTCATTATTCTATGGTTCATAAGAAGTGTGGCTATGAATCAGAGACGAAAGGTTGTTAATCCAACAGATTTTTTTGTTTGTTGATTATTGTATTCTGAGGAATTGTGTAATAGAAATTATCTAGATATGTCGATTGGAGGAAACAAAACATTTGATAACATTTTCTGACATTTGAGAGGCTCGTAAATCACTAATGACATTAAAATTAAGTTGCAGCTACTGTGTAATAACATCAGCGCTGTTACTGTTTCACATTAATCAATGTGATGGAATGTCAAAACTGTCAACCCTGGATCAGTTATACCCACCAGCTCTTGACACCAAATGGTTTAACTGTGACTTATTAAATGTGAAAGTTGTAACCAAGTCATCTAATCAGGGAAGCAGCTGAGCGCCTACGCTCATGGTCAGTTTTATTTTCTGACTTCACCCTGCCTGTTTATCGTGCTGTCATCGTATACTCATTGCTGCGTGATGCCTCTGTTTCTATGCTCGGAGCTGTCGAGGCAAGTAAGAACGTACAGTGCAGAACGAGGTGAGGTTAGTTACTTGTAGCCCTGAGGGGCCTTTACAGCAGTCGCAGGTATGTCAATCACTTCAGATGGATTTCAGAGTGTACACAATGTGTACTTGATACTTTACCCGCAGTCTTTGGTATTGAGAAGGCTGATACTTGATGTATTGCTTACTGTGGGGTGGGGTGTGTGTCAGTGCATGGGTGGATGGAAATGTGTTTGTGTGTGTGTGTGTG